TAAGAGTGCTGGATTCCCATTGGAGTCCTGGACCCAGCGGCTTGCTTTCTCACTTTCCCTCTCTCTCTCTCTTACTCTGTCCTTCTCTGGTCAAATTAAAATAAATAAATAAAATAAATAAAATAAAATAAATTTCAATAAAACAACAACAACAAAAACACATAGTTTGGGGCCAGCAGGTAGTGTGGTGATTCGAGCATGGATTCCCATATGGCTGACCATAGTTTGAGTCTCAGACCCTGAGTCTTGAAAATCACAACAAATAGATAAATAAATGAATAAATATTCAACGACAGAAACAAACCACGTGTATGCACATGCGAGTGCCCATAATCCAATGGGATGGACTGAAGGAAGAGTACCGGAGTATTGTAACAAAATCTCAAAAAAAGAAAAGAAAAATAATGATGGGGAAAGCAGGTGGCAGGGTGTTGGACTCCCATATGGCCAATCACAGTTTGAGTCCGGGATCTGGTGGATTTCTCTTTCCTTCAGTCTCCCCCCCTCTGGTCAAACTTAAATAAAGTTAAATAAAATAATTCTTAAAAAAAATAAAAAGAGGGAACCAGCAGTTAGCGTAATGGCTATGTCGCTGGACTCCCATGTAGTTGACCACGGTTCGCGTCCCGGACCCGGTGGCTTAAAACTCATGCCGGGCGCATGTGCGTGTGTGCCCAAGATCCCGAGAGGAGAATGGAGAAGGGATTGCAGCGTGACCATCCCCCTGGGGGATGATTTCTCGCTTTCTGTCTCTATGTCTCTCTCTGTCTGCCTGGCAAGCGCATGCGCCCTTTAGCGAAAATCTCTCCAAAAACAAACAAATAAATAAATAAATAAAAAGGAAAAAAAATGAGGTGAGGGATCAGCCTATAGCCTTGCAGCTAAAGGAGCCAGATCTCATGTGGTTGACTACAGTTTGAATCTCAGCCCTGACAGCTTAAAAATCACTCTTGGTAAGGGAACCAGCAGTTAGCGTAATGGCTATGTCACTGGACTCCCACATAGTCGACCGCAGTTCGCATCTCGGACCTGGTGGCTTAAATCTCAAGCTGGGCGCGTGTGCGTGTGTGCCCAAGATCCCAAGAGGAGACTGGAGGAGAAGGGATTGTGGCGTGGCCATCCTCCCTGGGGGGTGATTTCTTGCTTTCTGTCTCTATGTCTCTCTCTGTCTGGCGAGAGCACGCGCCCTATAGCAAAAACCTCTCAAAAAAACCACAAACAAACAAAAAAACAGTCAGATGAGGCCAGCCTCACAGCAGTGGTAATGCACTAGTCAAGAAAAGCCAGATCCCACATGGCAACCATGGTTTGAATCCCCAGCCTGGTCAGTTTAAAACACATAGTGGGCCAGCAGGTGGCGTGGTGGTTAAGAGTGCTGGATTCCCATTGGAGTCCTGGACCCAGCGGCTTGCTTTCTCACTTTCCCTCTCTCTCTCTCTTACTCTGTCCTTCTCTGGTCAAATTAAAATAAATAAATAAAATAAATAAAATAAAATAAATTTCAATAAAACAACAACAACAAAAACACATAGTTTGGGGCCAGCAGGTAGTGTGGTGATTCGAGCATGGATTCCCATATGGCTGACCATAGTTTGAGTCTCAGACCCTGAGTCTTGAAAATCACAACAAATAGATAAATAAATGAATAAATATTCAACGACAGAAACAAACCACGTGTATGCACATGCGAGTGCCCATAATCCAATGGGATGGACTGAAGGAAGAGTACCGGAGTATGATCAGGCCCTGTGAAGGGGTGCTCTCTCTCTCGCTGTCTCACTACATGAGCTCTATCATGAATAAAGAAGAGAGTACAATGTTGAAAAAACAACCCTTTTAAAATGATTTATTTTTATTTTTTTTTGCTATTGGGTGCGTGCCTTGCCAGAGAGTAAGAGACAGAAAGTGAGAAATCACAGCCCTGCAGAGGGTGGCCATAACATAATCCCTTCTCCATTTCCCTCTCAAGATTTTGGGAACACATACACAGGGCCCAGCATGTTTTCCAAGCCGCCAGGTCCGGGGCTTGAGCTGAGGAGTCAGTCCTGAGAGAATCCACTGGCTTAACCTCCATGGAACCCACTGGCCCCTCCCCCACCTCATTCTTTAAACAAGCCTAGAAAAGCCTTAATGACTTTTTTTTGTTTGAAGTTCTGCCTTAGATCTCATGCTCTCACCCTCCCTCCCCAGGAAGACAGAAACACAGTGAGAAGGAATGTGAGAAATCACCCCACAGTGGGGATGATCACGCTGTAATCTCTTGTCCCCCATTTTCCTTCCGGGATCTTGGATACACACGCAGGTACCTGGCGTGAGTTTCAAGCCACTGTGTCTGGGCCTCTAACTGTGGTCGGCTATATGTCCAGCGACGTAGCCCCTTAATTCTGACTATACTGAAATATATATAATTAAACTTCAGGATTAGAATGGAAACAGGGTGAAGTGTTCATCACTGGGTACATGAAATGGTTTCCTGTCAATGTTTTTCAAGGCTCTTCTCTCCCCGTGTTCAGTTATTTTCGAGTTATCCTAAAGCATTATCTCATGTTTAAAAGTAAAACGGGAGCCAGTTCCAATAGTGCAGTGGTTAAGCCCTGTGCACAGGGACTGAATCTCACATGGCTGATCAGGATTTGAATTCTGGCCACAGTGGTTTGACAAACGCCATACGCAGGTGGAGAAATAGGGGAAAAAGGATTGTGGTGTGACCACATCCCACTGGGGGTGCCTTTCATGCTCATGCCCTCTGGTAATAAATAGATAAATAAATAATTTTTGCCACAGGGTGGGCGCCACCACGCCCAATAAATAAATAATTTTTAAAGTAAAAACGTACTGGGACCAGCAGTTGGTATAATGGCTACATTGCTGGATTCCCATGTAGTCGACCACAGTTTGAGTCCTGGACCCGGTGGTTTAAACTCATGCTGGGCAGATGGAAAGTGGAGGAGAAGGGATTGTGGCATGGCCATCCCCCTTGGGGGGTGATTTCTTGATTTCTGTCTCTCTGTCTCTCTCTGTCTCTTTCTGGCAAGCACACGAGCCCTATAGCAAAAACCTCTCAAAACAAAAAAAAAAATAAGATGTACTTAAAAAAATAAAAAATTCCAAAAGGCCATATACTTGCCAAAGATACAGAAAGACAGAGAGAGAGAAAGCACTCCCCAATGGGGCACAGTCAGGCCACACTAAAGTCTCCATCTGGTTGGGATTATGGGCACTCACACACATGCACCTGCTATATATTTTTTTTTTCCTTAAATTTTTTGAGAGATTTTTGCTATAGGGTGCATGTGCTCAGAGAGAGACAGAAAAAGAGAGACAGAAAATGAGAAATCACCTCCAGAGGGGATGGCCAGGCCGTAATCCTCTTCCTCTATTCTCTTGGGATTTTGGGTATGCACACATATGCGCCCAGTGTGAGTTTCAAGCCTCCAGGTCTGGGATTCGAACCACAGCTGATCATGTGGGAATCCAGTGACATAACCATCACACACCCTCAACCTTATTATTATTATTTTTTTAATCTGCTATAGGGCACATGGGCTCACCAGAGAGAGAGAAGGAAAGTGAGAAAACAAGCCACCAGGTCTGGGATTCAAATTGTGGTCAGCTATGTGGGAGTCCAATGCCTTAATGGCCATGCCCCCTGCTGCCCCCCACACTTAATATGTTTTCAAGCTGCAGGGCTGGGATTTTCACTGTGGTTGGTCATGTGGGATCCAGCCTCCTAAAATACATTTTTTATAAAACAGCATTGGGGGTGGGGGGGCTGTGCCATTCTTCCAATACCCTGTCAGTGCTGGCAGAACCCAGTAGACAAGAGGTGTAGCCTAATAGACTAAAGAACATCCTATCATGTGCCGCTCTGTGATCACTAACAAAAGTAAAACATTTTCCCTTACGGGATGTATTTCCACTTTCCCTATATATTATATAAAGTGAGGAAACAAAATCTGGTCTAACTTGCCTTAGCCTAGGATTTTGGAGATGAACAACAAACCCACTCCTAGTCGCAAACATGTAAGAAACGTTGAATAAGTATGTCTGAATGTGTTAAGTGCTTGAGCTCTTAACAACAAAGTGCTCTATTATCAAAGAGTAACTATTTCATTTATATAAGAATCTGCGTGGTGCAGTTGCTCCTCATTGTTATCCAAGTGTGTATGAAAATAGATGCTTAAGAACATCTCTACTGGACTGGGTGGAGCAAATGATCAGATGTAAATATGGCTCAGGATGGCCAAAACTTGTGTTAAACTGTTAAAGAGAAGCCACAAAACGTCCTTTTTCATTGCCACTACAAAGAAAGAGACAGAGGGAGAGACCCTAGAGAGAGGCCCTTCTTGGAAGGACAGAAGAGTGGATGGCTTCCGCTGGCTCAAGGAATCCTGTTAGAATAAGAAAGCGAACAGAAAGGAGAATTGCAACAGAAGAATCCACGGGCTGAAGATCTTTTCGTTTTGTGCCTCGCACACGTCCCCAGGGAGCCGCCAGCTGCACAAACAACCGTGCCAGGGTTGGAGGGAGGCGGGGTCCTGGCTGCTCGCGTACATCAGAGCTCACTGATCATCCTGAGGGTACTGCTGGGGCCAAGAAGGCTCGTTTCCTCTCTATTAGAAATCCTCCCATTTCTAATACCAACGTTCTGTCTTTCTGCAAAAGGGGAGCTCCCTCGGGGTAGGGAGCCCGTCTCAGCCGAAGGGCAGCCCCCGGGCCCGGCTCCGCGCCGCCCCCTGGTGGTCACCCCGGGGGCCTCGTCTTCCCCGGGTCCAGCTCCCCAGCCCCAGGTCTTACGCCCACCCCCTTCCTCACCACCTCCCAGTCCCCTCCCCCTCCCCCCGGCAGCATCCCCTTCCTCTCCGTCCCCCCGCCGCCCCGCTCGGGGCGCACCCAGAAGTCCGGGGCTGGGCTGGGCAGGGCAGCGGGCGCGTTCTCACGGCACTCGCCACTGCAGCCCTGACGCCCCCGGAGCCCACGCATCTCTCCTTCCCCCTCACCTCCTCGTCCGGGACGCTGCCGGCCGCGCTTTCACCGAGCCCGCCAGTTTGGTCCCGTTTCCTTCTCTAGTTAAGACTCCCTGTCAGTGGCGGTCACTTTGTGGCCTTTTCATGTGTGCATTTTGGGGGCCTTCCCCCCCCTCGTGGAGCAATGGAGGCACCAAAATGGCGGACGCGGAAGTAACGCCGTAGCGGCGAGGCCGCGGGCGGAGGAATCTGGGGGGAGATGTCAGACAGCGCACGCCTCTGAGCGCACAGGAAGGTGGTGCACCCCCGAGGCTCCTTCCTTTCTACTGAAGGCCTGTCGAGGTAAAAGCGTGTCTCCGAGGCACCCTAGGCGGGACTACTTGGCCAGGCGGACTGTTGTCGGTGACGCGCCGGACGTGCCGTCTAGTCCCGGTGGGGGCCGGGCCCTGACGGTGGTTTTGGCGGCAAGAGGCCGGCCGACCTCTGCGAGGCCGAGTCGCTCCGGTAGTTCGCGGCCTCGGGCTCGGCGCTTCTGCCGGGGGGCCGCGGTCTGCCGGAGGTCAGCGTTCGGGGTGCCGGGGAAACCTCGTCCCTGAGGGCAGCCGTCCGGGCCGCTCCTGGCTGCGCGCGAGGTGGGCGCTGGTGCCCGGCGGACACGGCTCCGGCCCGAGCGTCAGGACCCCTGGACAAGGCCCTGAGTCATCCCGGGGGCGGGAGCTGGGAGAAGGTGGGGCATGAGTTTGCGGATTCCATTAGTCACTTGGTTTACCAAACAGTTGGGCTCCATTTCCATTTACCGGTTGCCATGACTGGAAGACTGAAAAATCAGGAAAACCCCTCCAGACTTATTAAAAACAGAAAGGGACAAATCATTAGCTTACCCGTCCTGGCCTCCACTAGACTTTGGTGATCGATGGTGAGCCTTCAAGTCCTAGCATTGGCATGTCTCCCTAGCCTCTAAGCTTCTCTAGATCCCTTTCGCGTTGTCCCTAAAGTATTCGTGGTGTACTGCCCGATCCTGTCCAGATAGGATCTTGTCTGGTTCCTGTTTACACCCCCTTATGCTCAGTCCCTTTCATATAGTAGGTACCCAAAGTATTTCCTAAGTTAGTTTCAAATAGGTGTTAGGAATAAGGTAAATTATACATAAGTAGAATTACATGGTTAATTTGTTTATTTCTTGGGCATCTAGAATTACTGCCTAAAATACAATGTTGATAGTGGGCAAGCGCAGTGGTTAGTAGCTTTCTAGCTACTTTACCTCTCTGTTCAGGCTCAAGTTCACCATTTAGTGTATAAATACTATTCACATCATTCTTCCTCAGAGTTGAATAGTAGAAAGTTAAGATGTGGGACCAGCAGGTGGCATAGGGGTTAAGGCCCTGGACTCCCACTTAAGTCCATCATGGTTCGAGTCCTGGCAGGTTGAAACATGCTGGTCACGTGTTGGTGTGCGTAAAATTCAGAGAACTGTGGCGTGGCCATCCCCCCAGGGGTGATTTCTCACTTTCTGTCTCTGTAAGTGCACATGACCCATAGCAAAAATCTCTTTAAAAAAAGTTAAGATCAAATAAATTGTATGAATGTGACAGCAAGGCAAAATTCTGAGATCTATACTGCTTCTTTGTGAAGAAACAAAACTAGACTCCAGTCCTGGGGTTGAATGTCTTTATTAAATAAATGAATAGATGGCAGCACAAATCAGCAGTAGTCATTTTGGAAGGAGTGGGGACATGGTATGTAGGGTCAAAATGTATTATAATTGTTCATTTCATGGTCTCAGGGTGGCTGAAGATGTGTGCCCAAGGCCCATTGGTCAGTATTAAATACTGCAGATGCAGGAGGGTGAGACTGAAACTGAAAGGACAGGCCTTTAGAAGACTGAATCAAAACCCTTCATATGAGTCAGCAAGATTGCATCTCAAAATTTGAAATCTGGTTTTCGTCAACTAGAATTTAACCCACACTTAGTAGCCAAGTTGTCAAATTCTGTTGACTCTAAGGAACACCTTTTGAAAAAGAGCTTAACTATTTCAGAAATGATTCAGTACTTTTCCCTGTTTTGATGTTACATGATGTATTTTTTTCCTCTTATACCTTTATCAATAATTTCTCTGAGAAGAGTCTTAGGAGGAGCAAAGAGTCTTATCACTTAGCAGATGCTCTCAAAACTTCCAAGGTGTTCATCAACACTAAATACTTGAGTTTACTGGCCTGCAGCAGAAAATTAGGAAGGTTTGAGCAATCTCTGATGCTGATGAAAATGGACTGAAAAAACAAAAACAAAAGCAAAACAGTCTTCCATTTTGTAGTACTGCACTATTCTCCGGTGAGCCAGTAAGGCCTGTTTTCTGGAGTTAATGTTTGGGGGGGAAAGGAAGAATCCCTGTGACCCAATACTCCATTTCTTGAACCCTTCACTTTGCGGCTCGAGGGCTTTTGAGAAAAATGGAGTAAATAAATAAATACATACATACATACATACATAAATACAACTCAACTCTGGCAGATTGATCAGCACCACCAACACAATAGAGGGGAAAGAACAAGATTAAAATGGGAAAGGGGTAGAAAGGAGGGGCGTGAAAGGGAAGACAATGAGGGAAGGTGGTGGGAGAGAGAAGTCTTGGCCTTAGAGCAAGTCCAGTTCGAAGGAGTGGATGCTGGCGATGGGAGCTCTCCAGAAGTTGAAGGTGCTGTACTCAAGGAGGGCATCACCTTCTGGGGTTTTCTCCTGCTCTGCTCGAGTTGCTTGCCCGGTCATTTTGCCAACGCCGCTGTCCTCGATCTTATAGGTGGATGTATCTGATAGACCCAAGCCTTCCAGCTCCGACAGGTCCAGTTCTGGGATGGGCATCCTCCAGAAAAGAAAGGAGCTGTACTGGCTACTCACTGGGTCCCTCATAACTTCCTGGAAAGAAAGCACTTCGTCAGTCTTCATGCTGCAGCCGTCTGTGTGTGGCCCCTGGCCTGGGCTTACTGAGAGGCTCCATGTCCTCATTTGCCTCTATACATAATCCAGGTTCCCTAGCACAAGCTTCAGGAACTCTCCCGCTTTTACCATTCTGTCACATCCTAACGTCTCCCATCTTGGAATGACTTATTTGCTGCCTGTTGATTGCACTGAGTCAGTGACCTTAAGTCTGATTTCAAAGCTGTCTAAAATCTGGCCCCACTTGTTTTTTTTTTTTTAATGAAATGGAGTGGGGAAAAAGTATTTTTGACATAGTCTTGTCATGGTTCTCCTCTCTTGGCCTCCCAGGTGTGTACCTAAATACCTACTATACTAGCCTATGTAGGTTGGGTATCCCATAAGGCCTCAGTCATCACACAGCGACACCTTCCACGTGCACCACTGCAGCTGTGGCCTCACTCTTAGCAGTAGTATAGTCTCACAGTAATCCTCACTCCGGTCTTGCTTAACTCTCTTCCCCTTAATATACTTCCCAAGTTTCAAGACTCCAAGTCCCAAGAGGGACCCTCCCTAAACCCCAAAAAACTGCTGTTATATTTACAAACACATAACCTTTTTTTTTTTTTTCATGATAAGCCAAAAGGTCAGTGCCTCTGAAAAGACCTTGCATGACATTTCTGCTCTCTGTTTTCCCTCATGCCTTCTAAACCCTGCTGTAAACTTACATCTTCCAGGTTGACTTCTAAACATTTACTCAGCTCCACCTACCCTGTTTCCTCCAGCATCTTCCCCAACATCCTGTAGATTTTTTTTTTTTTTTGGAGAGGTTTTTAGCTATAAGGTGCGTGCGCTCGCCAGAAAGACAGAGACAGAAAGCAAGAAATCACCCCCCCGGGGGATGGCCACACAGCAATCCCTTCTCCATTCTCCTCTCGTGATCTTGGGCACACATGCACATGCGCCCAGCTTGAGTTTAAGCCACCTGGGACGTGACCCACAGTCGACTACATAGGAGTCCAATGACGTAGCCATTACGCCAACTGCTGGTCCCCATCCTGTAGAATTTTACCTTACTATATCGGTTTGGGGTTACAGATAACTGTTAAGTGTTTTTTATGTATAAGGATGGTCTTAACTCCTTCAACAGCCTGGGAGTTTCCCCAAGTTGTAAAAAGCAGTCTACTGAGGCCAGCAGGAGGTGTGGTGGTCAAAGGCACTGGATTCCCACATGGCTGACCAGACCTGGCGATTTGCTTTCTCCTTTTCCCTTTTTCTCTCTCTCTCTCTGGTCAGATTAAAAAAATAATAACAAATGGGAATTAAGTAAATAAATCTTTTTAAAAAAGCCTACTTTCGGGAATCAGCAGTTAGCGTAATGGCTATGTTGCTGGACTCCCACGTAGTCGACCGTGGTTCGTGTCCCGGACCCCGTGGCTTAAAACTCACGCCAGGCGCGTGTGCGTGCGTGCCCAAGATCCCGAGAGGAGAATGGAGGAGAAGGGATTGCAGCATGACCATCCCCCCTGGGGGGTGATTTCTCGCTTTCTGTCTCTATGTCTCTCTCTGTCTGTCTGGCGAGTGCACGTGCCCTATAACAAAAATACTCCCCCCCCCAAAAAAAAAGCCTACTTTCTTGGTACCAAAAGTACTAGACTTTGCACACCAAGGCAATCAAAGCCGCTAGTTAATTTTCCTTCACTATTTTATTTTTTTAACAATTGTTTTAGGGGGCCAGCAGAAGTCATGGTGGTTAGAGGTACTGGATTCCCACATGGCCAACTGCAGTTTGAGTCCTGGATCTGACAGCTTGCTTTCTCATTTTTTTCTTTCTCTCTCTCTACCTCTCTCTGATCAGATTAAAAATAATAATAGCAAGGGGACCAGCAGTTAGCATAATGGCTATGTCGCTGAACCCCCCATGTAGTCGACCATGGTTCGAGTCCTGGACCCAGTCGCTTAAACTCACGCTGGGCGCGTGTGCATGCATGCCCAAGATCCCAAGAGGAAAATGGAGGAGAAGGGATTGTGGCGTGGCCATCCCCTCTGGGGGGTGATTTCTTGCTTTCTGTCTGTCTGGCAAGCGCACGCGCACTATGGCAAAATCCTCTCAAAATAATAATAATAACAAATGGAATTCAATAAATAAATATTTTGGGGGCTGGCAGGTGGTATAGTGGTTAAGAGCACTGGACTCCCTATATGTCTGACCGTGGTTCGAGTCCCAGACCTGACGGCTTGTTTTCTTACTTTCTCACTCTGTTCCTCTCTGGTCAAAATATATAAAGTTAAAGGGACCAGCAGTTAGCATAATGGCTATGTCACTGGACTCCCATGTAGTCAACCGCAGTTTGAGTCCCGGACCCAGTGGCTTAAACTCATGCCAGGCGCGTGTGCGTGTGTGCCCAAGATCCTGAGAGGAGAATGGAGGAGAAGGGATTGCAGCCTGGCCATTCCCTCTGGGGGGTGATTTTTTGCTTTCTATCTCTCTGTCTCTCTTTGTCTTTCTGGCAAGCGTACATGCCCAATAAGAAAAAAAAAACTCTCAAAAAAAAATATAAAGTTAAATAAAATAATTCTTTAAAAAAAAAAAAAGAATTGTTGGGACCAGCGGTTGGCATAATAGCTATGTCGCTGGACTCTCATGTAATCGATCGCGGTTCGAGTCCCAGACCTGGTGGCTTAAACTCACACTGGGTACATGTGCATGTGTGCCCAAGATCCTGAGAGAAGGGAACCAGCAGTTAGCGTAATGGCTATGTCACTGGACTCCCACGTAGTCGACCACGGTTCGCGTCCCAGACCCAGTGGCTTAAAACTCATGCCGTGTGCGTGTGTGCCCAAGATCCTGAGAAGAGATTGCGGTGTGACCATCCACCCTGGGGGGTGATTTCTCGCTTTCTGTCTCTATGTCTCTCTCTGTCTCTCTGGCGAGCGCACGTGCCCTATAGCGAAAAAATCTCTCCAAAAAAAAAAAAAAAGATCCTGAGAGAAGAATGGAGAAGGGATTGCAGCGTGGCCATCCCCCCCAGGAAGTGATTTCTCGCTTTCTGTTTCTTTCTGGTGAACACATGCGCCCTACAGCAAAAACCTCTCAAAAAAAAAAAAGAAAAGAAAGGTTTTATCTAACTTTTTATTTTAATTTGACCAGAGTGACAGAGGGAGAGAAAGAGGGAAAGTGACTTAAACTGTGGTTGGCCACCTAGGACTCCAAGGCCCTTTAACCACCATGCCACCTGCCGGCCCCTTAAATTCTTTTCTTTACTCACGATGCAGCATGCGTGTGCATGAGAAGAATGTGTGTGTCAGAGATGAGTCCCTCCATGGTGTCTAGTCACACTGTGATTCTCCAGTCTTCTAGCCTGGCATGTCCTAGGAACTCATATTTATGTCCCGTGTGGGCCTGACTGGGCCTGGGGTTCAGACCGTGGTCACCACGCAGGACCCAGCCTCTCCCGACAGCACACTGCTGCTTTACCAAGGAGCTGTCCTTTCCTAGCTCTTTAATACAGTGAATAATCTGCCACTCCCATCTCACCACAGATAAGCCGTAACTGTGTTTCTGTTTCCTATGAAATAAAACCCAAGTGCTAAAATAATTCTATGCTCTAACAGGATCTTTTTTTCCTTTCATCTTAATTCTGGAGTATAACTGATGATAGAGCAAATAGATCAGAAATTCCAGTTAAGGAAGTAAAATTCAGATTGGAAGAAGGTCCCTTAACAGAATCAGATACTTCTCTATGCTTTAATGAGTAGTTCTATCACCTTTATCAACCTGCTGATCCTACCCACACCCCGCCTGATGTTAGATGACTGCTATCGTTCCCTGCAGCCTCCACCCTAATCCTTCCTAGCCAACGGAAGGGGCAAGAAGTATTAGTTGAAATGTTCCCAAGGAAGCAGAAAGAACATTCCACTGCCTCCCAAAATAGAATCCCAAGTTTCAAAAGGCCTTTCTCCAGCATACCCCATTGGCTCTCAGCAGGTCTCAGATGCCTTAAAATAGCTTTCAGAATGCCTGTGTGTCATGTGAAATGCCTCTGTTAAGACAGACAAAAGGCTTGATCTCTATCATGGTCATGTGTGAGTATGGGGGCTTTGCATGGGAAAGTTGCTAGGACGGTTTTAACGTTAAAAGCAGATTCCATGTTGTTATTTTTCTTCTTAGGTTTCCAGCTCCAAAATAAACCCTGGGAACTGAGGATTACTCAGCAGAGAAACTGCTTAGAACGAAGGTGATGCAGGGACTGGAGCAGGGTGGGGGAGGCTGTTGGAGAGGTGAAATCATCATCCTATGATACTCAGCTCTGATCAGCTCCATAGTAATTTGCAGGGACATGCACGCCGAAAGAGAGCTACAGAAAGCAGTTGTACCTATTAACCCACGACTCCTGTTTAGGTTTAAGACTAGGGAGATCCTAAGAAGCAAACCTAGGAGTCAGTAGTGTTACTGGCTTCTGCCTACAGGGATTGTCTACTGTTATTTTCCTAGCTAGCTCTTTTTTTTTTTAATAATTATTTTATTTAACTTTTTTTTTTTTAATTAATTTGCCCCGAGAGGGAGAGAGGGGGAGAGAGAGAAAGTGAGAAAGCAAGCCACCAGGACAGGGAATTGAACCGTGGTCGGCCATGTGGGAGTCCATTGCCCCCAGCCACACCCACACCACCTGCCAGCCCCCCAGCTAGCTTTTATATCCCTTCCCTTACATTGTAAGAACAAGCTCAATGAAGTGCTGGGCACATAGTGTGCTTTCTTTAAAAGATAGAATCATAAGGGGAAACATAATCGAATTTTAAGCTAGAAGCTACCCTCGAAATTATCTAGTGACTTGTAAAGCTTTCTAGCCACTTTGTGCAGGGCCCAGGTCTCCCAATTCCTAGTGTGATCCTTTTGTATTGTACATAGGGAGTTGCCAGCAGCTTTCTGTGCCAGTATTCTCAAAACCTGCAAGAATTTTTAGTTCTTGAAGTGCACGTCTCTTGCCTGCGGGTTAGGTGTTGATTATTCCTGTGATTCTGAATTCAGTGGTGAAAATACAAAAGGCAGTAGAGAGCAAGCTAGAATCTGAGAAAGGGAAAAGGCTGTTGGACAAACTGACTCCTTTTCTTGCACCCAGAGCATGTATAAAAACTGTCCAAACAGACTGTCTGGCAGAGCTATCTTGCAATTAAAAAGGAAAAAGCTAAAGTAAATATTATGAAATATTAGTGCAAAAGGCCTCAAATCTCTAGCTGTGCCATTGATCCCAAGATGTAACCAGAGTACCAAATGTATACCTGAAAGACACTTAAACTGGCATATGTGGCATTCGAGTCAAGAACATAAAGTAAGACTACATAGAAAATTAAAGCTAAAATATCAAAGGGTATTTGCTAACATTAGTAATGAAAGTTTTGATTTAATATAGTATGGATGTAACTCCTAAGACCTCAAAATTTGACAAAAGGCTCCCTTCCAGCTAGCTTTCCCTCCGTTCCTAAATGCTTTCTTCGCATACTTCATCTACATTTGCCATCTCTTTTATTTATTTTAAAAGTTTTAGTACCTTGTATCACAATATATGCTTGATACTTCCCACTAGCCTTCATCTTAACAATGTCAGATGTTTTAGGCGAAGGTAGCTTCTAAATAATCTGTCAACTTATTCTTAGAGATACATGATTAGCAAATGTACAAGTTGACCAGATAGTCTGAGCCACCTAGACACGCCCAGATACCTTTGTCCAGAACCCTCTGTGGGAATCTGAGGCCTGCTGCACCGGGCCTTGCTGTGTCATGCTGCCACCATGGGGGTGGGAGGTGGGGAAGGATGAGGGTGGTGGAGGAGGGGAATGGAAAAGCTCTGGCATCTCATTACATGCACCTACCCCACTCAGAGCTTGGGTTTTCCAATTAGCCATGTCCTTCTGCTTATTCTACTAAACTGCGAATAGGCATTCCTTTTCCAAAAATCTACTCCCATACCTAGCTCCTCGGGCTGTACAGATTTCAATATGGGATCTCGATACACGGGCCCCCTCCTTTCCTACCTAAAGCTGCCTTTTTCTTTGGAGCAAAGATTTGATGGGGAGCAGACAGTTAAAAGGTCAGGACTACTCTAATATTTCATATCCCTCCTCCCAGAACTCCCATCTTCAGAGACAAAAAGAAGACTACAGGAAAAAGAAATAGGAAACAGGGAAGTAAAGGCCAGAGACAGACAATAGGACTACAGATTAGTCAAATAACTGGTAGAATAAATTACATAGCTTGAAAAGGAAGATCTAGATAACCAAGATATTCAGGCAATAAATGATAGGAAAATAAATCCTCAGAAATACGGAGGTAAGCGCTGACGATAATGAAATGAAATGGTTAGGAATGAGTGTGTGCAGGTAACAAGATCTCAGTTTAGGGATGAAAAATGGTGAGCGAATACCTCTTCATTGTTCATAGCGCCCCCTTCTCTCTTGAACTGCCCCCCCCCATCCTTATGTGCGGTCCCCAGTCAGAAGCTGCTTCTGGCTTTGCAGCCTCCTGCTCCCCACCCCCAGTTTGGCTTACCTGTTATCAATGAATTACAAGCCTCTTCTAAAGATGGAGGGACTGCCTCAGGGGCTCCGGGGTCTGCTCGGGGCTGCAGGAGAAGAAAGCTGTTGGTGCTTTGACGGCTTTGTCCTCGCAGTCTCTCTCTTCTGTGACTGAGTCTGTCGGCTCGGTCTCCCCCTGCAATGCAGCCCCTCCTAAGGCGGGCGGAAGGACTCCCCGCCCCCTCCCAGCCTGACTCGGCTAATTCAAATGATAGGTTCCAGAACGCTTTAGGGAGGGGGAGGAGAGAAGCATCTCGGTAGGCTCGTCGGTCTGCACAGTTATTCCAGCACGCCTGTGCTCACTGGGGATACGATAAAGAAATAGTTCATTGTTCTCTAATTTTAGTTTGATATGAATTAAAAATCTCAACTCCAAGCAACAATGGAAAGGAGGAGGAGTGTCCCTTTCTTCCCTAACTTAAGGACTGCAGGTTACTAGGTGGTTTTGCGGATCAGAAAAATGCCCCACCTCTTCCCCAGCCCTGCCCTCGGCCGACTCGCCTAGGCACCCTAACAATGGGTACGTTAGCCTAGCCCCGCTCCAGCACGAGGGACTGGGAGACTGAGGAACCCCTGTGAGTCTCCGAACTGTTAGATCTGGGGCGCCGGGGGACTTCGCTTCGTTCTGCCCCGCCTGGCGTGGCGCGGAAGGGCACGTGCGATTCTGGGGGACCCCGCCTGACTGCAAGAGGTGACCGCACTGCCCAAGTGGCCCGACTGGGGCGGCGGCTCCCAGGGTCTGCGGAGGTCTGCGGAGGCCCCCCTCGGCCCGCTCTCGTTGCAGTGCCTCGTCTGTCCGGGGGGGAGCTGTGCGCTCGGCTCCGAGCCCGACCGGTTT